ACACACACAGGTTATATTGGGGAAATGGTACTGGGAAACAACATTGATATTTTTTAAAAACATCAATAAAATCTTAAAAGAGTCTGGTTTCCCTTATCAAAAGTGAATTTTAAGACTACCCGTGGGAAGAGATAACAAACAACCAGGAAGGGATCAGGCAATGACTACAGTAGTCAAAGAACTTTCAAAAGCATCATTTCCTGAAATAATCTTTTTCTCTTCAACGGTCCCTATCCCTCCAGACTTCAAAGCATATTTGGAGCCCGAGGGGTCTAACTACACAAGAGCCATCACTAGCCACGGACAGACAATGGCAGACGACACGATAGACAATCCCAGAACTCACTTTTAGGTTCCAGATCAGTCAAACAGGGATCCATCTCAGCTCCCAGAGTGTGGTGGCTCCTGTTGCAACTCTAACTGGTTTCCTATGCTTCACTTCCAAAATGCACCTCTCTCCGTTTCAGATATACCCTTGAAGGCAGAGTGGGGACTAAGGGTAGGAGAGCGAGGGAACCACAGATTGTACCTTCCTGCAAGTGGTACTGATTTTTATAAATGCGCATATTTTCAGTGTCAGAGAACTCTCCTCTTCATGGAACAGAGATATTTATTTTGTACTATCAGTTCCTGTAGCTTACAGTGAAAGCTAAAGGCCTCTGATGGGCAGTGATGATGGGCAGCACAATTTTCAAACCTTGACTTGAGTATTAACAATGCATTTTCTAGGGTCTTCTTTGTTTTCTCATTCAGTGGATGACTCCCAATTTTTTATTAGGTGACCATCTCACAAAAACTGTTCCCTCCTTAATTCAATTATCAGAGTTCCCTCCAGCAAGGACAGCAGTGCAAAGGAGTAGTACATGAGAAGCAGAGAAGAAAGAATCTCTGGGCTTAAAGTCAGAAAACCTCAGTTCAAGACCTAGCTCTGACACTTGCCGGATGTGTGACTCTGGTCAAGTCATTTCACTCACTGCTCTGAGCCTCTGTTTCCTCATTTGTAAAATGGGGACAGTATAAGTATGCTTTTCTATTTCACAGCATTATTGGGGGGAAGGGCTTTGTAATAACATGTAATATTGTTATAATGTAATAATATGTAGTATATATAATCTATGTACTAATAGCAAACATGCACACAGTATAACACCTTAAGATTTGCAAAGTTCCAATATATTATATATTTAATATATGTTTATATTATGTTATATATATTATATAAATACTAAATATAAAATTAATATTAAATATATTATTTTGATTGAGCCTCACAGCAACTCTGAGAGGCATGTGCTATTATCATCCTCATTTTAGAAAGGAAAAGCCTGAGCTTGGGGGATCCAACCTTCTTTTAATCACACAGAATTTCCTCTAAGATCGTGGGAGGGTTCTTGTCAAATAACACGGAGCCGTTCTGACTTGCTCAGAATCACACAACTAGGAAGTATCTACTCCAGGATTCAAACTCCAGTCTTCTCGGTTCAATGTCCAACACTCTATCCACCACACCAACTAGCTGCCTCCAAATGCAAGCTAGTACCATTGTTATGTACTGACATAAGTACACAATTGAGCAAAGCAGATCCCAAGCCCTCCACATCACCTTCTCCTTTAATAGGTCACGAACGCTGCTGATTTATAAACTGAATCAGTTTATTATTATTTATCAGTTTGTCATTAAAGTTTTTAAATAATTCTACTCATTTTTTTCAAAAGGAGCAGTTAGACACACATGTTGCATTCTAAGTTCAGAGGTCTGCCCTAAGGTAACAGCTTTTGTGACCAAACTGCTTCTTCTTGTTGTTCGGTCATGTCTGACTCTTCATGATCCCATTTGGGGTTTTCTTGGCAGAGATACTGCAGTGGTTTGCCATTTCCTTCTCCAGTTCATTTTACAGATGAGGAAATTGAGGCAAACAAGGTTAAGTGACTTGCCCAAAGTCACACAGCTAGTGGTCAGGGGCTGGATTTGAACTCAGACTCCAGACCTGGCATTCTTCCAGCTGCCCTCCAAACTGCTCCAGCTACTTCCAAAGTCCAGATCCCAGTTCAGGAATGGTTCTCAATATGTGATTAGTTTCCTGTTTCATGCAAAGGACCACAAATATACACAGAACCAAGGATATCAGCAATCTATCAAATCCTAGGGTGAAGTAGATAGAGTACCAGGTCTGGAGTCAAGAGAAACTGAGATCAAATCCAGCCTCTGACCACCAGCTCTGTGACTTCGGGCAAGTCACTTAACCCTGTTTGCCTCAGTTTCCTCATCTGTAAAATGAGCTGGAGAAGGAAATGGCAAACTCCTCCAGGATCTCTGCCAAGAAAACCCCAAATGGGGTCAAGAAGAGTCAGACATGACTGAACAGCAACAACAAATCAAATCTGAAAGCCATCTGCTATCAGAAGGTGGGAGAAGCGGCCCCTCTTCATCGGATGGTGGCATTCACCCAGATCCTTTAGTAATACCACCTGACACATGAAAATTTAAAACATTCTACAAAACACCTTCACCTTCACTTTCTCTCCTTATTCTTACATATCCCAATTCCATTTTAATCTGGTTAGGACTTGCAGTTTGACAGCTCTGGGTTAGTGAATAGAGAGCTAGCCTAGAAGTCTTGAAGACCTGGCTTCTTGACATAATGTGGCTGTGAAACCCTACGCAACTCATTTAATTTCTCAGTGAAAATTTGCAGAAAAGTTGCCTAAGTGATCTGCATTGGTAAATAGTTTCCTCACCAGCAGGTCTCTATACCAAATATAGGTCTGGACAAAAGAAAAAACGATGACCACTACTATGTCTACTGACTTACCTACATTTATAAAGCTTATCCAGTGGCAAGGCTAAGAAAAGATCCCAAGAACAGCACTGCCAAAACAGAAAAGAATCATAGGACATTCTGATTGATCTCTCTCTCTCCCAACATTGCCTCTAATCCTTTCTATTTCTAAAAGAATTTTGCAAAGACCACATGAAAATAAAGGACAGGAGTGGAAATAGAATGGTTATGGAGGAATATAGCAAGATACTTGTCAGTGAGAGAGACACTGATGGGTACAAATGACTCCTCCTGCGCAGACGTGGGATTGACTGACCATGTTCCTTGAAAAATTCTAATAATAATTGCAATAACAGTAATCATTGATTTGTTAAAAATGTAAGTTCCTTCATAGTAAAGAATGCTTCATTCACTGAATTTGTATCCCCAGTGCCTAACACTGTGTTTAGCACATTTGTTGTTGTTCAGTCATTCTGTTGTATCCAACTCTTCATGACCCCATGGACCATAGCATGCCAACACTGTCCTTGGACTTTTCTTGGCAAAGATACCAAAGTGGTTTGTCTTTTCCTTCTCCAGTAAATTAAGGCAAACAGAGGTTAAGTGACTTCCCCAGGGTCACCCAGCTCGTAAGTATCTGAGGTTGGATTTGAAATTCAGATCTTCCTGACTCCAGGCAGGGTGCTCTATCCACTGAGCCACCTAGTTGCCTAGTTTAGCACATAGTAGGTGCCTAATAAATGTTTTGTTGATTGATTGATCTATTGCAAATTAAAATTTACACAACTCTTTCTTCACAACAGCCTCTGAGGAGAATAATGAAAATATTTTTATATCCATTTTACAGATTAGGAAACTCAGTCTCAAAAAGGTTTAAAACCTTGTCCCAAGATATATATAGACTAGCAAATAGTCAGACATGTGATGATGGGATCATTGAATTAGAGCTGGAAGGTAACCTGGAGATCTTCTAATACTATTTTCCCATTTTATAGATGAGGAAACTGATGCCCAAAGTGTCCAAGGTCACAAAGGATTCTAACCCAGATCCTACAGCTGGAATTCTTCAGCAAACATTTACTAAGCACATATTATGTGTCAGGCACTGAGCTAAGTGCTGGGAGTACAAAGAAGGGCAAAAAATTGTCCCTGCTCTTAAGGAGTTCACAATCTAATGGGGACACAATATTACAACAACTATCTACAAACAAGATATAGACAGGATATAATGGAGGTAGTCTTCAGAAGCAGGGAGCTAGAATTAAGAGGGATCTGGAAAGCCTTCTTGTGGAAGGTAGAACTTTAGCTGGGATTTAGGGAAGCCATGAAAGCAAAAAGGCAGAGATGAAGAGAGAGAGGATTCCAGGCATAAAGGACAGCCAGTGAGAATTCCTGGAGTAGGGAAATAGAGTATCTCGTTCCAGGAAGAGCATGGATGCCAGAATGGGAGGTGAGGGGAGGAGAGGGGAAGGTTGGGTATGTAAGGTGTTAAAAAAAAAAAAAAGGTAGAGAGGACCTTAGAAGCCATCATGTCCAATAGCCCACCCCTCCTCATTTTTCAGATAAGGAAATTGAGACACTGAGAGGTTAGGTGACTTCCCTGGGGGTCACATAACTACTACGTGTCTGAGGCGAAATTTGAAACTGCTGCTCAGTCGATACCATACTGACTCTCAGATCCAACCTTCTTCACACTACATGAAACTTCCTCTAAGACCAAGAGAGAATTCTTGCCAAATAACACAGAGCTGTTCTGACTTCTCTTTCCTTCCGCTCACCGTAGCATCAGTTAACACAAGTTTCCAGGGCTCGGAGAACTAATAAAAACTTGGGGAGTGTGGGGAAGGGATGCATAAGAAAAGGCAAAACCAATAAACCTCCGACAAACAAATGGGGGCATGGGGTCAAGGTATCTGACAAGTCCGGGAAGCGCTCGCTAAATAAACAGTTCTTGGCCCAGCGTGGGACAGTGCAGGTGCCAGGTCAGGGGCGGAATGCAGAAAGAAGCAGGGTTAGCAGGGCACCCAAGCTGCCCTAGACAGCGCATGCCAGTTCTGGGGAAGTGTAGGCGACCCCGTGGATCGTCGAGGGTGCTGTCTGGGGCTCGGGTCTCAGAGTCCCACGGAGCTCATCAAAGCCAGGCAGAGGAGAGCGGTTTGGGTCTGGAGAGGGGAGGACAGCTGTAGTGGGGCTCAGAGGAGATGGGAGCAAGGGACTGACCTGAGGCTGCCATGGCAGAGGATGGAGGGGAGCCCAGCTCACATCCCGGGCCGTAGGACCTCCTGTAATCCTGCCGAGGGCGGGAAAGAGGCAGGGGAGAGGCAAAGAGGCTCCAGCTTCTGTTCCGGGGACTCCAGCTTAGGAATCGAACTGGGCTGGGCAGAAGCTGCGCTTCCTCGGGGCGGTCGGGGGAGGGGGGGGGCGGAGGGACTGACCCGCTCCGCCCCCGGGGTTGGCCGCAGCGGTGCTGACGGTGACGGCCACCGGGGCAGCGGGGCGGGGGAGAAGCCCAGAAGGGACAGCCCAGCTGCCTCCCCGCAGGCTGGCAGCACCACCTGGAGTTGGACGCCGTTGAGTAGGGGAAGTGAGAGTTGGGGGTCGAACCAGGAGCCCCCTTCCTCCTCTCAGACAGTCCCCCCACGGCCTTCCCCGCCCCCGCCCCCGCCCCCCCATGACATCCTCCAGCAGGCTATAATTAGGGCAGAACTGGGTGCCCTCCAAAATCTCCCCATCCACAGACTTAAAGACAGACTGAGAGTATACGGTGGGAAAGGGAAAAGCCCTAAGGCCCCCAGTTCCGTCTTGGGAATTGGGGGTAAGGCGTTCAGAGGTAGGCGTGTACATGATGAGCACCAGCTGGCAGATACTCCTTCCCCCCCTGAGTCAGTGCCCTAGGCAGGAAATAGATGGGGTGGGGGGAGAAGAGGAGAAAGAGTAGGGGTGACTCTTGGGAATTGGTCCCCCAAGGGACATCTTCGCTTTTGAGTTCCCTTCAGTTACCTTTCTGCAGACTCCTCAGGGATTTGGCCCCTCACTACATTTCTCCTTTTCTCCCCCTCCTCCTAAGTCTCTTTTCCTCCTGCCCCATCACCCTTGGACCGCAGGCGGAACGAACTGGACATTAGCACCAAGTCCTAATCAGAAGAAATGTTGGATCGTGGAAGGCAGTGGCACCATTAAATGCCATATAAAATTCAAGTTAACATATAGTTATAAAATGCCTGTGAGTGGCAACCTTGGAACCAGAAAGACTTGGGTTCAAGTTTCTCTTGTCACCCACTAGCTGTGTGACCCTGGGCAAATCACAAGCTTTCAGTGCCTCCCAGGTAACTATAAACTGCAGGAAAAGTGCCATTTTACATTGGTAGAGAGGTTTCCCTCACTGGGAGTTTCCGGGACCAATGAAATCACTGGTGCAGTTCCATCCTAGGTACTGGGGATCCAAACATGGAAAGTGACAAAGTCTCTGACCCCATAGAGCTTACCACCTGATAGAAGGGGAGCACAAGTATGACTGATGCAAGGAAGGTGGAAACAGAGTGTTCTCCAAACATATAAGGAAGAACAGCTCACCTTCAACAGGAAAGACTTCTTGGAGAGGGTGGGCAGCTGAGCTGGGCCTTGAAGGAAGAGGATTTCAACAGTGGAAATGAGAGGCATTGCACTTCAGGAATGTGGGTCGGCCTGCAAGAATACAGGGACTAGGGAGGACAGGGTGACAGGCAATCATGGAACAGCTTGCCTGGTTTGGCTGAAAAAGAGATTTTATGAAGGAGAATAATGTGAAATAAGGCTGAGAAGATAGGTTAGAGACAGATAGTGGTGAGCTTGAAATGGCTACAGGAGATTGTTGAAAGCTCTTAAGCAAGGGAGTGCTGAATGAATGAATGAAAAAACAATAAATTAAGAGATCTTAGCTACAAGTTAGATGGAAAAGCCCCATAAACCTTAGAATACGACAGCAAAGTAGATGTTAATGTAATTTCCTTTGATGAAACCATATTAATTTTTTTATTTTTAACATTTGTTTTTCAAATTTGGAGTTGCAAATTCTCTCCCTCCCTCCAGCCCTTCCTCCATCCACTGAAAAGGCAAACAATATGATATCAATTATAAATGTGAAGTCATGCAAAACACATTTCTCTATTAGCCATGAAAGAAAGGAAGGAAGGAAGAGAGAGAGAGAGAAAGAAAAAGAAAGAAAGAAAGTATGCACTCAGAATTCATCAATTCTGTTTCTGGAGGTGGATAGTATTTTTCATCAGGGTCCTTTGGAATCATTTTGGATTATTGTATTGAGCAAAGTCGTAGCCTTTCACAGTTGATCATCTTTACAATATTGCTGTTACTGAATACAACGTTCTCCTAGTTCTGCTTGCTTCACTTTACAACAGTTCATATAAGTCTTCCCAGGCTTTTTTTGAAACCATACTGCTCATTATTTACAGCACAATAGTACTCCATCACAATTATATACTACAACTTGTTTAGCCACTCTCCAATTGATGGGTATCCCCTCAATTTCCAATTTGTTTTTGCCACCACAAAAAGAGCACTGCTGCAAATATTTGTGTAGATATATGTCCTTTTCCTTTGGTGAGGCAATTGACTTGCCTAGAGTCACACAGCTAGTGAGTGTTATGTGTCTGAGGTCGGACTTGAACTCAGGTCTTCCTGATTCCAGGACTGGTGCTCTATCCACTGCACCACCTAGCTGCCCCCCTTTTCCTTTTTCTTTGATCTTTGGATACAGACCTAGTAGTGGTATTGTTGGGTCAAAGGGTATGCACAGTTTTATAGACCTTTGGGTATAGTTCCAAATTGTTCTCCAGAATAGTTGGACCAGTTCACAACTCTAGCAACAGTACATACATTAGCATCTCAATTCTTCTACATCCCCTCATTTTTGAATTGTTATCTTCCTTTTCTTTCATGTTAGCCAATCTGAACCATATCCATTTCTGAGGTTGAACCATTTGAAAGTTCCAAGGACTTTGGTGGTGAGCATTTTCTTCTCCCCATCGTCAAAGCTGTGGCTACTAAGGAGGTGGGAACTGCACAAAATCAACAAGTCAAGTCAATAAGCGTTTATTAAACACCATGTAAGTACCAGAGGCTGTGCCAAACTCTGTAGATACAAAGAAAGGCAAAAGACAGTTCATGCCCTCAAGGAGCCTACAATCTAATCAAAGATGACATGCAAGCATCTATGCAGGAACATGATATAGATAGACAGATACATCATACATACATACATACATGCAATTAGGGGTAGTATCTGAGGCATTAAGGGGGTCCGTGAAAGGTTTTTTGCAGAAAGAGGGATTTTATCTGAAAATTGAAGGAAGCCAGGAGGTGGAGATGAGCAGAGAGAATTCTTGGCATGGAGGAGAGTCAATGAAAATGTATAGAAATACATAAATAAATATATAAAATGTGTATCAGGAAATGTAGGATCGTGTGCAAGGAGTAAGGAGGTCAAAATTAGTCAGTTAACAAGCCTTTATTAATGCTTTCTATATGCCAGGCACTTTGCTAAATCCTGAGAAGACAAATATAAGCAGAAAGAAAGATAGTCTCTGCCGTCAAGCAACTTACTTTCTAATTGGAGAATGACAGCACATAAAAGGGAACTAAAAAAAAAGATGAAGGCGGGGCAGGACTAAGGTAGATAAAGTCCTGTGCAGAGAAGTCTGGAGTTCACCCAGGAAAGGAATGAAGGTGTGGCTGGCCTGGACAGCCTCTTTAAAATGGAGGTTCTTGAAGGAATCAGACTATTAGAGAAGAAGGACAAGGGGCTAGAAATACTTCCAATATTAGAAATATTCCAGGGCCAGAGTGAGCTTCTAAGGCAAAGAGGCTTCCACAGTAGGCAAAGTCCTGTGGAGATGAGCTAAAAGTGTAGCCCAGGGAGGAATGGACAAATAAATTATAAATTCTTGTTGACTGACAATGCCATTGAATCATAGAATACTGGGAAAAAAGTAAAGTATAAGAAGACTGGAAAAGGAGGAAGGGGCCAGATTATAAGGGGTATTAAAAGCCAAACTATTTTATATTTGATCTTGGAGATAATTTTAAATTTGATCTTGGAGGCACCATAATTTATTCAATAGGGAGTCAGCAGGCACTCTAGGAAAACCACTTTGGTAGCTGAGAGAATGGACCGGAGTAGTAGAAATGAGGCATTGGAACCACCCAGAAGGTTGTTCCTTTGGTGAGAGGCTAGGTTGGAAACAGAGCAGGTGGTCGGGAGGATACTGATATTCCCTGGGCTCTTGCGCTTAGAGGCCTGAGCTGTCTCCCCCAGCGTCTAAGGGGAGGTGGTAGTGGCAATGATGGTGGTGGTTTTGCCCACCTGCCATCTCCTATTTTTCCCTCTTGGAGTCTTCAGTTAGTCCAACTTATCTAAGGGAACACTCATCCTACAGTATGATAGGAATGCTTGCTCCAGCTCTCACTTTCTAGAAAATATTCTGTCCCTAGAATCTCAATTCTCTATAGTATACTCTAGTAACCTTCAAGGCAAGATCACAGCCTGTGGCTCTTGAGCCAGAGGTCAGCTCTCAAAATAAGGACCAATCCTACGTGGTATGATATAAGATGCCTCACTATGGCTCCACCCTCTACCCCCTGTTCCCCAAAAAAGCCAACTCCTCTACCATCTCCTATAGCATTGTCTTCTACCTAAGCCTGACCTAAAATTCTCACTCTGGAGGGGTTAGATAGCAAAAGCAGTCATGTCTCTGGAAAAGTATTCTCCAAATGGCCATACTTCCTGGGAACCAAACCTTTTACCTTAACACATACTAATAAACTTAGCTTGGATTAATTTGGAAAGAGTGCCAGGCCTGAAGTCAGGAAGACTCATCTTCCTGAATTCAAATCTGGCCTCAGATACTTCCTAGCTGTGTGGCCCTGGGCAAGTCACTTAACCCTGTTTGCCTCAGTTTCCTCATCTGTAAAATGAGCTTGGAGAAGGAAATGGCAAACCACTCCAGTATCTTTACCAAGAAAACCCCAAATGGGGTCATGAAGAGTCAGACACAACTGAAATATCTAAACAACAAAAGTTTGTTGTAACTTTTAAGAGAAGAATGTTAGGCCTTGAGAAGGGGTAGGCCTAAATAAGGACACTACAGTTAGGGAAGGAAGAAGGGAAGGAAAGAAATATTTATTAGGCACCTACTATGTGGTGAGAACTGTGCTATATACTTTACAAATATTATTTTATTTGATCCATACAGCACCTCTGGGAGGTAAGTGCTATTATTGCCCCCTTTTTATAGTTAAGCAAACTGAGGCAGACAGAGGTCAAGTGTCTTGTCCAGGGTCACATCACTTGTATGTATCTAATGCTAGATTCGAACTCAGGTCTTCCTGAATCCAGGTCCAGTACTATAGAG